AAAAAAAAAAAAAAAAAAAAAAAAGAAAAAGTACTATGCAGTGAGAGCATGAAGACAGTTGTCAGTCGTAACGGGCTGTTATGGAGAAAACCTTAAAAAATGTCCATTTTTTTTTTTAAAAATGTCCATTAGGTTCAGCCTGATTGCGACTAGCCTACTTTGTGTTTCAAATTACAAACAACTCCTTGATATATTCATCCACTTCTTCATATAGCACTCTTGAAAGGGCAGCCTTTGTTAGGTTATCTAGGGAGTATTTTTGTAACACTTGGATGGGTGTTTGTAACACTAGGGGATATTTGCAATTGTGGAAGATATGTGGTGTTCTCGTTAATTAGGCTAAACTTCCAGGCTACATAAATTTGAATTATACAGAGCAATCTTAGCAGAAGAATGCAGGTGGATCATAATCATTTACCATCCCTTCCATTATGACAAGGTCCGCATCACTTGCCAGGTAAGCAAGTTCTTGGGATACTCTTGTAAGATCAATAACCTATAAAAATAAAGGACAGTCACTCACAACAGAAGCAATCCAACCTTTGGGTTCAGAACTATAAGAAGTCATGAAAAAATCAACACGAAGCTTCTTACCGGTAAATCATTACCAGAATTTGCAATTAAAAGATTTGAAATATCAACTCCCAGAAGCTTGCCATTCTCATCCTTCAACTGTAAATAGAATTTTCCTTAGACAAATTGAATCTATACATTTTATCGTAAAGACATCAATACTGTAATTGCTGCAGTACCTTGGCTATAATCTCAACTAACTCAGGGTATGTTACATCATTAATAGAAGGCAAGTCATTTGCAGCCAAAACAACCTGCACTAAATCAATCAGTTATCCTAGCTGCATAAACAAGAAATAAATAAAATGTAACATCACATGTTCAGATCACATTGCAAGTCCATTATGGATGAAAAAAAAAATTGTTGGAAAAAGAAAAATTAATGAAAGAACCAATTACTTGATGCCCTGTCGCTTAAAGCATTTCCTAAGATATAATTTAATTCGATGCGAAGTCTCTAGTACTTCTCTTTCGCAGCATAGCGAGTAAAGGGTCTAAAATCACACCTGCACACCTTGGCGGAGTAACTCCCTTGCAAACGGCAATATACCCAAAATGATATCTGCGCCAGAATTATCTACAAGGATTACAGCCTATGGCATAAATGTCCAGAAGTTAGTAAAAGGAATCCCAAGATAGTAAATGATGCATTGAACAGAACAATAAGACCAAAAGAACCTTTTTCCAAGATCTCCGGGCCCATTTCAAAATGAACTTGTTCAAATCATCAATCACCCAGGGTCTAGGGACAAGATTCTGGCAGCTAGCTTGAAAAGACATACCATCCTTTGCAAATATTTCTGCCAGCTTCAAAGATAAGGAAAGAATTCTTGTTATATAAACCCAGGGCAAAAGAAAATCTATTTTACCTAGAGAAATTATTTAAAGTTGCACTTGGATGATAAGATTTGAATTTGTTTCTTCTCTTTTAGGGTGTAGGGTAAGGCAGACCTGTCACCTATATAATAGTAACAAATGTTTGCGTACAAGCAGAGCAGCAACAGGTCCAAAAAGGTGATGACTATATAAATGCTTTAAGAAGCTTTAAAAGAAGCAAGGTACAGTTGATCCAGTCCACAAGTTCCTAAAATATGAGGAGGAATGGTATGCTGATGAAAGCAAATAAAGTTGGTGCGTCCACAGAGAGATTACCAAGGAAATATTAGGTGGCAATGACAATATGTAATATGGATTCGAAATCCACTGCGAAAATCTCAAATTCAAATAACAAATGAGGCTTAGGAATTGGACAAATATTATCATCTGAACAAACAAAGGGAATTTCTATAAGGGGATTCAAATCGTTTAGTTTCAAATCCTTGTAAGATCCAACCTCATAGTGTAATAATTGATACTACACTAAGCAGATGTAACCTTACAATAGTAACATTCTAAGTTGAATTGTGATGGTGGTGGCCCTCAGATACAAAAATCTTTATATATTGGTAGGTGATGTGTACTAGACTGCAAGTCGCTGAAGATGTATATTGAAAATGATGATATCTAATGAAAAAAATTATGAACAAACAATTATTTCATTTTCAGGAATAGTTAGAAAATGGTGGACAGAATAGAAACGATGCACGGGCCCTCGAGAGTTGATCTATGTATATTTATTAGTAATACAGTTACAGTAGGAAAATTGTGATCTTTTAACTAAACACATGACCTTAAAAAGGTGACTTTGCTAATTCGTAATCATATAATTTCTTCAGGAAGAAAGGGAAAACTCAAAAAACAAAGAAATTAAGTTTATGTTCAACATCATTTTCTCAAGCACGTTGTACTAACTTGACCCCGAGGCAGTACTTAACTTATAGTCCTTGAGCAGATAGGAGCCCAACATACCTGAGCCGAGCCAAGATCAAATATGTTACCCGCAAGGATCCCCCTAAGCAAGTTCTCAAAACGCTCGAGTTCATTCTGGATAGAATCATTAAGATGTACAACACCCTCAAACAAGGATATTGCCTTTGCATTTTCTTCATCCTATCATATAATCAAATGAAACAACTTAACCATAAAACTACATTCTTGTTCTTCCTATTGCTAAAGAAGCAAGCAAGAAAGGGAGGCTGTATAAGCGAAAACAACTCTCACAGATGTTTCCAGCCAAAACACATACGGTTTAACATTCAGGCATACACTCAAAGTGATGCATAGAAGGATACAGAGAGTATTATTACGGTTCACATCAAACCCTCTCCCAACAATACATCAACCTCTACAAAGTAATCAAGAATCCAACAATCCACCCTGAGTGGGAAAGAATTGGAATACTTACCTTGACCTTTTTGAATATATCTCTGAATCCCACTTCTCTGAGGACCTGTTCACGAAGTTGGCAAAGGAGCTGAAACAAAAATACTTAAAATGTAAGAAGGCACAACAGAGGTACTTGACTACAAGCTATTAAAACTAGATCTAAGTGAACCATTTTCGGTGAGAAGGATCAACGTACAATGCAATCAGGTGGGCCACCATGACTCTCAGGATCTTTCTTCAAATCCTCAAGTATTTCTGCATACCTTAGGAGTGACAAACAGTGAGTAAATCCTTTCTATTTTATTTTTTGCAATCAATCAAGTGATGGAGAGTAAAGTTATGAACAAATGTGTGGAGGTTGTGAGCTGAATGCTACCTGTGAGCAAATTTTTCAGCTTTGGCAGCAGCATCTGGAACCGTATCATCGCTCTCAGCGCGTTCACTGCAGTGGAAATTGATGGATTTGACTGATAATGAAATTAAATGCAATACTGCAGATGAGAAAATATATAGAGAAGAAGAAGAAGTAAGGAACCGGAAAGAGGGGATCGAATTGGCGAAGAGGTTGATCCAAGAAAGCTCAGTAGGGGTTGGTCTTTTGGGATTGTCGGAAGGGAATCGGTAGGGAATGGTGCAAGCTCTGTAATTCGAATCCACCAACACCGGCAGCGCCACCATTTCACCACTGCTCTCCATCTTTTTCTTCTTTGTTTTCTCCGACTCGAGTTTCACTGATTGTACGTGCAACTCGTTGAAATTATGAATCGCGGTTACAAATTGTTATTTTGTTATTTTACCACAAGTACGATATCAAGCTGTGACGCCCCGTCTACTTTGGACTTATAAAAATTAAAGTAAAATTTTTGCATTTTATTTTTTAAATAAGGCAAAATTACAATTTGTCCTGTTAGTTTGATCCAGTGGCGTTTTTAGTCCTATAAATTGAACATTTTTTCTATTTGGTCCTATGATTTTAAAATTAAGTGCAATTTCAGTCATTTTGGACTGAAAATGCAACAAAATTTAAAATTACAAGACTTAAATTACTAACAAAAATATTTTAGATAGATTTTTATTAGCAATTTAAATCCTGTAATTTTAAATTTTATTGCAATTTCAGTCCCAAATGACTGAAATTGCAGCAAAATACAAAATTACATGACCAAAAGACAAAAAATTGAAACCTTAGGACTAAAAATGCTACGGCTTTAAACCAGCAGGACTAAAAATACAACTTCGCTTCCAAATAATTACTTATTTTTCAAAAACACTTTAACTTACTCACGGGATGTTACTCAACTTACTAACTCGCTTTTTGAAAATTGTTTTCTTTTAACTCGACCTAAGATGCGACTTAGGACATGGGTACGCTCGGACCCAGCTGATTAAACACTAGGACATAGATAAAGCACTATGAAAATACTGGAATTACGAGACAAAGATATTAGATGAGTTATTTTCACATGCTTTGTCTGTTTAAGTCTAAAAAGCAATAGGTGTTTTCATCTATTTTGCACTTGTTTTAATCAGCGTTAAGTCTAAAAAAAAAGAGTAGTTATAATCTATTTTCCACCTCTTTTAATCAGCGTTATTTTTTTAGCCATACTAAATATGAGCATGTTATGGCGACGTAAAGTAATTACTATATTATCTCACTAACACATATATACTAATATAAGTTTGATTTTAGTATATATATTTATTCCTTGATATAACAGAAAATAACATTTTTACTTATTCTTGTTAACAATATAATACTTAATTATTATTTTATTATAAACTTTGTATTCATATAATGGCCTTATTATTTATAAAAATTATAAAAGTTGTACGTCTTCTTTTTCTTTTTATTTTATGTAATGAACAATACATGTTAGTATTGTTTATTTATATAATCAATTTAAAATATGCAAATAAATGTAAAATTAAATAATGTATAAATATTTAAAAAAAAAATATACACACATGTTTTTTAGAATTTAATTTTGTATACTAAGTAAACAATTTTGATTAAGCAAATGCCAAAAACTCAATCCCTCCTATTAGAATTCATTACAAAAAAAAATTAAAATAAATAAAAAATAATAAAAAAAATAATCATGGTTGCCAATAAATATACAAATAAATTCTAAACAACAGTTAATATATTTCAATTTTAATTTTTGACGACTATTTAATGTATCTCGTCATTATTTCTTGAATGGTAAATTATATTAGTTTGAAGAATAAGCTATTTTTTATATATAACAAAATAAAACTTAGGAAAAAATTATATTGGCAAAGATTAATTCACCAACTTGATTTCGACTGATTAATTGGAACAAAAAAAAATCTACCTAACTTGTTACGCTTTTTTATAATTTGTTTGGATAAAAGGTGAATATTTGTGAACGAAATTAATATTATGGTTAGAACTTAAAATATGTTGTAAATTTATCTTGACAATCAAGGAAAATCAATCTTGTAATTTATTATAATAGATATCAAGGAAATTGTTGCATATATTAATAAAATTATTTAAGAAAACAATTTTTTGATCATTTCTGATTTGGTCTTATTTGAAAATGTGTATATGGAAGCAAATAATGCATATATTTAAAAATTAAAAAACGCTCCCAAAATTTTTTACTATATATATACATATATATAAGATGTGTTCAAATGAGAATCAAATTCTAGCGTGAGAACTGTGAGAACCGCTAGTTTTAATTGTATGTAGTGCTATGATTGATTGTGTTTGAGTTCTATTTTTAACTAGGATGTATTTTATTAAAAATAGAAATAAATTTTTTATTCTTTTTATTAGCATTTGTGAAAATGATAGCACCATGCAATATTAAAAATAACATCATACACAATAAAAAATAGCATCAAATATGGTTCTCACGGTTCTCACACCAGACCACCCCCATATATATATATATATATATATATATATTTTAAATAACGTATAAGTGAGCCACATAAAAAGCCTAACTCGCATTATTATCCTCTAATTATCTATCATGTATTCACCTAATTACTTTAAAATCTTTTACCAAATTGAAAAAAAAAAATATATTAATATTGCAATTAAATATTTGTCTCAAAATGTCTTTCTGACATTGAAGAGGAGTCGTGTGTGGAGGACCAAGTGCGAACCACATTAATATTATCTTGTTTACTACTTCACAGTAAGAGCTGAATCTGATTAACATTCATATTAATTTTCATAGTCTAAGCAATTAACAAAATATTTCATTGATTGAGAGTAATTAATAACATAAGTTGTGGGTGCATAATTTCGTATATTTGATTGAAATATATGAATATTGTTGTCATGGTGTTATTATGAATATGGTCTAGCAGACAAGGCTGTATATAGATAATAGGATAGATGTGTATACAAATACAATAGACGGTGATATTTGTTTTAAGTACAAGAGAAATTTGAGTGCGGAGAAAGAAGCATTCATCGGTTTGAGGGCCAGGCATCAGTCAAGTAAATTAGTGAAGACTGTAATGTAATGAAATGTTAAATCATATACTATCAGTGTTTTAAAACGCGCATAGCGCATCGCGTCGCGTTTTGGTCCTGAAATTGCGTAGCGTAAATAGCGTAGCGCATTGCGTAAGCTATTCGAGCAGTTCAGTTTAAATGCCAAAAATAATAATATATATAACCATACAAGTAAATAAATAATTAAAATAGTCTTAAATCATAAACTTAGACATTAAATCTAAAAACAACATTCAAATATTAGTTCATACAAACAACCTAAAGTCATAATCTCTTCATCTCTTCAGTTATGTTTGGATCCATTTTCTTAACCATAATGATAAACAAACTAATAATTTAAGTTTAGAAACATTAATTCAATCATTCTAATAAAAAACATAGGTTGCATACTTCTTTATGTACCTCACAGATGTTCCATTACCAAATGGATAATTCAGGACAATTCATTTATGTCTTATATGTTCCATACTGAGTGATTCTTTAAATACCTCACAGATGTTCCATTACCAAATGGAAATAATTCAGGACAATTAATTTATGTCTTTATGTTCCATACTAAGTGATTCAAGAATCAGGACACAATTCAACTATAATGGAATCATCAAATTAAACAGAGTTGTTCTATACTTCTTACTCTGAATCATTAAAAAAAAAAAAAGTAGCCAGACCCAATCAGCAAATAGGCAAATACACATAAAAAAATGCAATCAAACATCAAGCTCAATCAATCCTTATATCTCACTCTATCAAACATCAAGCTCAATCAATCCTTAATCAATCCAATTAAAAAAAAAATAAAAAATCGAAATCATTCACTAGAAGAAGCCCAATTTCAATTGATGTTCTGTGAAGCTATAATATTCTCAAATGAAAAACAAAATGATACCTTTGGAGTTGAAAGTCGAGGTGTAGGGGATGTAGTGTACAAAGAGCCGAGGAGAAGGGACTTTGGTGGTGCCGAAAGCGAGAAAGGCAAGAGCGAGAATCGAGGAAACAGACGATGTGAGAAGTGAAATGATGAAGAGAGCCGGGCTGTGGTGGATCCGTGGAGGCTGCGGTGGAGGGCCGAGAGGGAGATGATGAAGAGAAATGAAATGAGGGTTTCGTGAATTCTGAGTC